AGATGTAACAGAGAATATTTCATTTGCCAATTTTACTTAATCATCTGCCTAACACTGTCCTCTCGAGCACCTTACCATCGTATTTTGTATTTTCTTCAGCGTTTATTTAGTGTGGTTTAGAAATGACGTCACAGTTCACTGTAGCGCCGCAGGGAAACGGCCAAGTGAGGGCTTCTTTCATTTATCCATTTTCCCAACATTTTTTAAACGAGCCATTTAAAGCAATACTGTAGTGTAACTTTTTAAAATTTATTTTTATTTCAATAAAACAATTAAAGAATCATTGTTTAAGTAATAAATTCTAGACATTTGTATCCCTTTTTAAAGACACAACCAACTAGTTTATAAGCCCTTCCCTGCCCGAGAAAATCCTGAAAACGATTGTAAATACCTGAAAACAAATGTCAATTCCAGCATTTAAATGTTTTTAAATGTTTTTAAAGCTGTATTGTTGACATATTTCTTAAACCATGAAAATGAAAATGCAGCAAAGGAAGTATAAGCAGACAAAGGAGTTTTTTTTTTGAACACTGATACAATAGCGGGTCCCCTCTCTGGACTTAAGTGTCAAGAAAGAGATCACTTATTGAGCTAAAGCATCTGGAAAGGTCATGCACTAGCAGCCATATATTAAATAATAGATAAGTTAGATAAGTTTTTAATCAGTTGGTCATATGACAAGATAAAGATAAAATATACAATTATTTAATAGCAATGAAAAATATTAAAAAAAAGTTATATTGTTTGCAAATGGCAAAACAAGTTTAATGTAAACTGTTTATAATTTCACAAGAGACGTTTTGGGTTAGTAACTTTGTCATATTTTGTCTTCCCAAGTGGCATATTTGGCTGAATTAACATTTGAGAGCATGTCTTGGCAAGAATTGAACAGGTAAAAACATGTCAATTTAATGGTTAAGAACATATGAAAATAAAACAAGCATGGTTGCCAGTCTGCCATTTTGAATAAAATTACAAAACAAAACTGATTCGCATCAGCAACATGCATCATGTGTGATGTTCATTCCATGTTTGAATAAAATCAGTATTATGACATGATTTTATTTTTGGGGTTGAAAATTGTCGCCAGTTAAATTTCATCCAAAAATACTTGAACAGAACGTGCAACCTATTTTCTTCCCTTTTTACAAAATTTTAACAAAATCTGTAAAAGCGCATCTCAGAAATGGGTAGAGCAACAAAATGGCCACCAGTCAGCCATTTTGATAGCTGTAAAACAAAATGATGTGCATCATGAGTGATATCAATATCAAGTTTAAACAAATAACAACTTGTATCAATGATTTTTTTTTCTTTGGTGTTTTTGGTGTTTGTATACAACAGTCAGCCATTTTGAATTTGATGATGACAAAAATGTATGTGCATTTGTTTGTAATAATATCTAATGTATGTGTGTAATTTGATTGGCCCAAGCATGTGTGGGATATGGTTGGATACTGACGAACATATGCATGCATACACAGGACTAATAACAGTTTACAATATTATGAAACAAGTCATTGAAAATGACACAGTCCCCGTTAAATTTTTGAAAGTTCTCTTTGTGCTAGTCACAAGCGTGTCCTTGATACTTGAGTTCCAAGTGGCGTATACAGATTGTTTATTTACATCAAAACACGTGTTCCGTGTAGTACCGGTAGTAATATGGCCAAAAATATAAACAGCCGTTATTCGGCCATCTTTGATCTGATTATGAAACCCACTGATATGTATGATGTATGTGCCAAATACAAATGAAAATGATACATAAATTGTGGAAATATAGTAGTAAGGCCAAAAAGTGAGATGGCTGTCAATCGGCCATCCTTGACCAGAATTTTGAAACAAATTTTCATGGACATGCATCCTAACATGTAGAAAGTACATGTATGTGCCAAATTTGAATGAAAACTGACAGAGCACGTCCAAGATACCGCATAAGAAAACAAAAACAAGATGGCTGCTAGTTGACCATCTTAGATCTAATTGTTAAATAAATCGTCATGGACAAGTATCCTAACATGTATAATCTATGTACCAAGTTTGAATGACAACTGACATTTTCAAAAAACAAGATGGCTGCCAGTCGGTTATTTTGAATCGAATCACTAAACCACTGCATGTGCATATGTCCCACATAAAGTACTAGGCACATGCAAAGAATGAACGGAATCGGTCCAAGGGATTCTGAGATATGACTCCAGACGAACGCATGGACAGGCGGAGACCGAATTATAAGTCCCCGTTTTCTGACTTCGTCCGAACAGGGACTAATAATATCTGAATCCGAGCCTGACTGAGCCGACTAAGCCGACCGAGTGTAATCAGTGGAGTGACAAGTTTAATATCTTGTATTGTTTTGCTTTTATACTAGGAGGGCCAGGTACTTGACTGAGGAGACACTGAAGGTGAATTGTAGCATCCTGCAGTCGTATTGGATGGCACAATGAATGTAATCAGTCGTGAATCAGCAACTTGGATTTCTATGACCCGAAATCTTATCAGAAAATAAGGACATCTTATATAATCAATTCAAGCTGACAATGGACGCATAATTCCGTATTTCTATATTACCATGTTTTGAGAGTGTAAACAATAGCTGCATAGTTTTGTCTGAATCATTACCATATAAGAGATTAGCAATACATGTTGTCTTCTTGTACTGACAATCATCCTGTATAAATTCCATCACATCAATATTCTGACTTTTTTTCAATTGCACTAAGTTTGATAAAAATTTCACGTGCCGGAGTAGTACATTCTCGCTCTTTGATGACAAAGATTCAAAAAAACAAGTTTTCTCAATCTGAAATAAAAAAAATGATTTTTATAACTCGAATAATCATAACATATACATATCAAATATTTTAACAACAGCAATTCACATTTTATGCATGTTTTCTAGAGAAATAGTCAGCTAATTCCCACATTTGGCAGCATAACACACAATAACTTGTTTATGCATATTTATGTTGTGTCTATGCCACCACTTGCAGGTATACAGCATCTGAGTCTACCATGCAGTTGGATAGGTCTTGGGACCTCATTAATATGCACAAACAAGGTTCTATGCAAATTGCAATACAGCTATATTTTCATTTGTGTTACTTGCAAACATAGTGTAAACATATAATAAATGGTTCTAAGTTATACAGGTAATTTAATTTGTGTAGGTGTTGCTTTTGGTTCCTTATAAGAGATAAAAGAAAATGTTGGTGGTGGGGGGTAAGTTCGTTTTAAACAACTTCCCTTTTTTTTGAAAACAAAATAATCTCCTAACACATAGCAATGTACCGTTATTTGATTACAGAAAACAGGATTATAATGGTCATGAAACCTGGGCAATGTGTAATACTTTAAACAATTACAGAGGCTAAGAACAGATTTGTTGACAGTCTAATATTATATTGATGCCATGTATGCATATACCCATCACAATGAAACATGTTGTAGAAAAGCCTATTCCACCAGTACCGGTAACTCTTATTTCATATCCACTATAGAAAGCTTTAAATAAACTCATATGTGATGAGATAATTGAATGAAATAGTACCCAGGGTACCTTGCAGTTTTTAATGAGACTTGTTCAAAACAGAATTATTAGATTTTAGCCAAATTGGAAAGATTTTATGAGAACATCATTAAACATGAGTGTTGTTATGTAATCAGCAAGCTAATGCAAAATTTAAATGTCTGATGAAGGAAAATAACAAACCTAAAGTCTCCCGGTACACATACTTACAAATAGACAAACAGAGTAACAGTAAAGGTTCAATCTAGGTGCTTCACACATGGAGTCAATAAACATGTACATGTATGTGGTGATATTGGGTTTGACAGATAATATACATATGTAAATGTATTATAAAGTTATGCAATATTTTAGTGTACTTTTAATGACAATATATTTTTCATCTATAGACATTTCTGATAAATTAATGTTTGGATATTATTTATATGCAGTTGCTTTGAAAATACAGTGAAACAAAACTAGCAGCCTGTCGGCTGATATAGCTCTGCTGTTTGTGATGCATGCTCTGAAAGCATACCTACGAAGCAAAAAACTTAATGCTAGCTGCTTTAATATCGCAAGACACCAGCTTTCTTGATTTTGTTGCAGAGAATTTTTCACTCTAAAAGTAGAGAATTGAAGACATCTTTACGAAATGAACAAATCTAATAGAGGTCTACCCAAGCTGCATGTGTACAAGTATCAAAGAATTTGGACTACCGGTTTTGAAGGACAAGTCAAAAATATGTTTTTTTTTTATGAAAAATGACGAATTGAAGATGTTGACAGGAAGTGAATAAATCTGACAGAGGTTCACCCAAGGTACCTACAAATAAAGTTATAAAGCAATCAGGTTAGAGGTTTTCAAGAACAAGCTGAAAATAACATTTTTTACCAAAAATGACACAAATATTCACTAAAATTAGAGAATTGAAGATATTGTCATGAAATTACCAAATCTTACAGAGATTCACCCAAGGTACCTACAAATAAAGTTACAAAGCAATCGGATTAGCAGTTTTCAAGGAGAATTCAAAAATATAATTTTTTACCAAAAATGACAAAAACAGTGTTCACCCCAGGTCTTTCAAGCACTGCGGGCCCGCGTCGCTTAGACAAACAGCCGCGTCGCTTTTGTTTCGCCCGCGATCCTTGAAATCCTGCCCGCGATGCTTATTCACGTTGTATTGTCTACAAGTGTCAGCCTCGTCTAGCACATCTTTAAAACAATAATATGTATTGATCGAAAGGTAATCCCGCCTTTGTACATAGTTAGCCTTACAAAAACAGTGATAAAAACGGAAGTCTACAAGAAGTTACCAAGTCTATCAAGGGTGCGGAGTTGGCAAACCCAAAATACTAGGGTAGTAATAATTTGCCCATTGCGTCGGGATGGTCTATCCCGAGTTGCTGCACTGCGATTAATTGCGTTTTTACTACTTCATCGCCAGTGACACTAATATCAAGAATTAAAAAACAAGTGAAATAAGTCGCATCGGAAAAAAAAACTGTAAATAAATCGAAGTAAAAATTATTCAACTACAGACGAGATGGACGAGGAAAAAACGAACCTTGACCTCTAGAAATACCTCATTCATAGTGCGTCATTACCGAGGAACGCCACCCTAAGGTGACGTAACGCATGTAGTGACATCACAACCGATGCATGCTGGGTTACAACGGAGATTTTGATTGAGGTAACAAAGATGGCGGCGTAGAGTGCATGTTTTTCCTCAACGTTTAAAAACATTTCGTTGTCGATTTTGATGTAATTTCTAAATTAATCATCAATGAATCGTTTTAATTAAGCAAACATTCTAAGTTTGTGTATTTTTAAACAAAAAAGTCAGGGACCGATGATCGCAACAGCAGCGGTGAATACCCGTTCAACGCAATGCCGTCAGCTGACAATATTACGGTGATCGTAGCGTTACACAAATAATAGATAGATCAATGAAAAATCGCTGACTTTAGTTTTGAAATGCCGTTGTAGAAAAAAAATGTCATTATTGATTTATTAATTTCTTCATACAGATTTTACAAATTTAACACAATGAATGTAAATGATAAAAAATATATGAGATATGTATCTCTTCTTTATTTCAGTTATAATGTTTGTTGGGGAAACTAATTATTATGCAAACAAAATTATGCAAATAAGATGTATTGTTATGTAAATTAGCCGCGATGCTTGGCTTAGAGTCTGGGGAGAACACTGAAAAATATTCACCAAAATTAGAGAAATGAAGATATCATCATGAAATGAACAAATCTGAGAGAGGTCTACCCAAGGTACCTACATATTAAGTATCAAAGCATTTGGGCTAGCGTTTTTCAAGAAGAAGTCAAAAATAGCATTTTTGACCAAAAATGACAAAAATATCCACTATAAAAAAGACAATTGAACATATCCACACAAAATGAACAAATCTGAGAGAGAACTACCCAAGGTACCTTCCTAGAAAGTAGTTTTTAAGAAGAAGTTGAAAATGTAAAGTTGATGACGACGGCGATGGCGACGACGGCTCGACTTAGTCGACAGCGGAGCTAAAAACTTACTTGTGTACATACCGTTCAGTAATATCAAAATAATTATTAGATAAAACTTGTATGAAGTAAATAAAGCCAAACTACAAGAACTCTCCTCTGACCTAGGATGAAATGTTGAGGCCCACAGGTATATATATTTGGAAAATTCCCATACATTTGAAGACATTCAGTTACATTGTAAGTCCGATTCAAAACTCTAGACCAAATTCATATTGCCCCTATTTTAAAATAGATTATATGCCATAAAAGTCTTTGAATGTTTATTACGCATTGTATAAATACAGTAGACAAGTGATGATTGTTCTCATACAATTTGCATATTGTAATTGTGGTGCAAGATCTGCATAATGATTAACTTATTTATGACCTAATAAAAAAATTATTCATGGGTATAATGTCTGCCAGTATGCTGTTGTGTAAGCTCTCAGTTAAGGTCCTGCAATAAAGCATTCTGACCAAGGTGAATTTTAATAATTGATGTAACTGGATATAGTTTTTCACACGAAGAATTACAAGAAAATGATATTAAGCAAATTACCCTGTGGTTTCATGACAAGATGAATATAAAGAAGAAGTAAACTATTTTAAATACCTCAGCTTTCATCATATATGGAAAAGCTTCCTCATTTGATGAGAAGTTAACAAGTATTTTCAAACTCTGCAACTGAACATCTTCACAACACCCACGGTAAAAGTGATGAAACAACATTGGTATGACAGAAAGGAGAGATGAATGCTGTTCTTCTGACACTGATAGGTTGGTTAATACTCTTAATAAAGACAACTGTAATTCTTCACAATTATCTTCATTATTCAGTAGTTTTATGGCGATCACTCCACATTCCAAATCCTAGAAATGTATCATATAACATCATGATTGAACAAATTTACTAAACAATTGAACACAATATTTTTTCTCTCCAAATGTTTAGTACAACATTTTTCATTATCTACACACTTAATCTGATTAACATGTGCCATAAAATCTGATTAATTTAATTTTATTTGTTTATTTACATTTGATTTTCTTTGCCATTTCTAGATATCATATGTTGGAAGCCTTGACTATGTTTCAGTGGTTAACATTTTTTGGGGGCTTTTTTCTTTCATATTTACAGTATTGAGAAAGAAAAACAGGAGAAAAAAACTGACATGCACACTGTGCAGAAACAAATCATTTATTTTTGGGGGCCTACAGCCACAAAATCTGAATTAAATAAAGACAAAATTATATGGCAATTAAATAAGGTCAAATATATGTAGTATATGTGGGCTTATTTTGTGAATGGTAACAAAATTTTGACATTGGAGTCGAAACGCTTAAGACAAAAATTACAGCTTTTAATGCAGACCAATGTGTGCTGAGACTAATTAGCAATTTCCTTATATTGTGTGTTATATTTTGATAGTATCCCACAATAGTACTTTGTACCCCTTTTCAGTGCTGATACCCAAATACACACTACACATACCATCACAAAGTCATCAACTTTCAAACTTCCTATCTGTGCACAAAAACAAAACTAAAGACAACCATTTATTCAAGTCAAGTGATTTACCCAGAATGCTTTTGAGAGAATGTGTCCAGACCACTGTCAAGGGAC